TCTCGCAGGACTGTAAATCGACCGAACTGTAACACGTCATCCTAAGAGATTATTAATTATCACTATTATTGATCCACTGTAGACACGTAACTTTGTTATTATATAAAGAAAAAAAAATTCAAACCTGAGAATGCGTCTTCATAAATATAGTCTCAATAGTGGCGCATATGAAGTACGAAACAGCTAGCAACTGAAGAACACCAGGAAATCGAAGATCATCTAGCGACTTTGCATAAATCGAGTTTAACATCAATCCGAGAAGTATGAGAATAATTGTACGCTGCAGGCAACGCAAAATAATCTTTCCGCGTGAATTTGACACACGAAGCTCTGATCGTTTTGATATAGTGATCGACAATCCCATGATCCACGCAAACCTGAAATTGCAATGTAAGAGTGTAACAGCAGTAGAACGAAATATACATGAAATGCAAAAGGGGACAGATAATTTACCAAGGTAAGACTAAGTCGGCCACTGTCAGACCATTCCATGCGCTATGATTGAAAAACATATACTCGCCACCGCCATTATTGACAAATATCATCAATAATATAGCAATCCTGAAATGATTTTCGTTATAATATATGATGTTAAGAGTATGTTAAATCATTTCACATGCAAAGGAAGATACCCTCGGAATGTATCGACTGAACGGATCCTAGTACTAGATCTGTTTGTCCTAATCATTATATTTGCCGTCTCCGCTTCTTGAAGCTCATCCAAATCCTGAAAGCATATATTAAATCTTGAATTAATAATATCAAGCTTAATCTTAATATAAAGTATAGCACACATAATCACATAATATACATTTGTACACTTACATCGTGTACATTATCTGGAGATAATTTTCCCTTTACCACACGTATAATAACTTTAACAGTAGCAAACAAAATAGTTAGCAGAACAAACACCATAAAAGCTGCAAATATTGCTGCAAGAAAAATAATCATTGACACTCCAGAAATTAAGACTAATAGCGAATTCGATTGAATTGCATTATTGTGTACTCGTAAACATTAAAATCATCGTGAATGAAATAAAGATAAAAATGTGACATGAAGATATTTAATATAAATATAGAAATAGCATAATCCTTATTATACCTGAATATGTTTTATTCTGTTTGGTAAAATATGAATTTTATTCAAAATATTTGCATTTCACTTTTAGATTCAGATTAAATTAATGTACAATGTTTTATGCACTAGTGAGCTTTATGCATTCAATCAAATTAAAAAAATTGATGTAATTTTTTTGGCTTACGAAGATAACTGTTGATCGGTTCACGAATGGTATAAATGTTCGAGCAAAGTTGCTCCGCAGAAATATTCCATCCATAACTTCCATGTTCTTTAAAATTATACGTTGTGCTGTAAACAAACGACAGTATAATAATTACAATAATAATAATTGTATACGTTTATATTAGTAAAAGATGTGATAAATAAGAATGATCATAGAACTTGTATTTTGTTACTTACTGACACCATTCTTCAAGCTTATCTTTGTAAAATATGTGCAAGGGAAATTTCGTAGGTACAATTAACGTGGTATTTTCTCCTTTTGGTAAAAAAGCCCGTGGAACATCTTTGCACTACAAAAGCAAAGGATAATTGTTAACAGTTTAAATAAAAAAATTAATGTTTCATTCAAAACTCAATAGTTTTATTTTATCAAGTACGTACCAGATAGCAATCCGCTAAATGAGAATACAATGTAAAAGATCTATTATATTCATTCAGAATGCTAAAACATGCTTTATCTATTCCAAGCGTCGCATTAGTATTGAGACAAGGATTCACTGCAACGTGTTGGTTCATGACAGACATTGCTGCGATCACAGTTGCTTTATTAAAATCAAGATCTTCTCTAGTATAAGTACCACTGAAAAATGAATAAATATATATACAAAATCTGACAATAAAGTTTTCGAATTGCAGCAATAAAAAGATAATAAAATGTTATATTTCATCTTTCAAAGTAGTCTCCAATTGACATCAATACATTTTCTACATTTAACAAAGTCTGAAAATCTTTTTTAAGGTACATAATTAGAATGTTATTCAGAACACTCATCACATTTCTTTATCCTTGACATCTTGAAAATGCTTACCTTTCATCATAAGCTATGAGAACATGAAATCTAAGAAGTCAAATCTAATTAATTAGGTAGTTCATCTCAATAATTTATTAGCTACAAACTGTTTCGTGATATTTTTATGCTTAGGAATGTTGTCATACAATTTTCTTTGCCAAAAAAAAATTATTGAGAATAGTCACACCACCTTATTCATCAGATCTGATCTTTTCAGATTTCATGCTATTTTCGAAGTTAAAAAACATGACCAAAGATAAACATTTTTAAGATGTTGGAGACATTTGGAAAAATATCACAAACGCTTTGAACAATATTCTAACAATAAACTTTAAAAGTTAGTTTTGAGTGTTTTTATATCAAAGATGTATGAAGTATATTGATATTATAAAGGACTATTTTGAAAGATAAAATATACAAATTTTATTACAAGGCAAAAAATCTATGTTACGTGCACTAATCGTCAGCATAAGTAGTGAATTTTGAAATATAACCTATATAAAATTCGATAAAAAAGAATAACAGATGAAACTGACTACTGATATGATATTAAAGATTTGTTTTCTGTAGATATACAACATGATACCTTTTGCACTTAAAATAAATTCGACATAATATAATATCTAATTACAATATTATCTAGATATAATGTTTCCGACGCAAAATAGAAAGATAATGCGCAATTTATAGGATGCTTTAAAATACGTTTCGTCACATTACTATACCTGTATATACATGGCAGCTAATACAATAGGAGCACGATTGGATGCACAATGCACGGATATGGTCAGAATATCTGATTACCTCGGAACAAAACAATGGGAATGAGATCACAATTAGTTCTATTTCGGACTCTTGTTACGATTAAGAGACCATAATTCTACACTAAAAAAAAGGCTTTTTTCTTGCTTATCACCTTTTTGTAAAGAGAGAAAATCGAAAAAATTCAGGTCACTAGTAAAAGATGTGAGAAAAAATCTATCCAGCTAGGATACATTATACATTTATAACTATGAGATTCTGTGCTGGACTATTCTAAAAGGGGAAGAAAAACACTCAAAATTTTTCAGTTGGAAGTGGAGAGACCAATCAACAAAAAATACATAATGACAGAATTGATTAAAGACGCGATCAGACGCAATTCACAAGCTTTCAGTTGGAAACAATTCCAAAAAAACAATTACACTGAGACTGTGCGTCATTTTCAGTACAAAATAGATAGCGTGGTAGCTTCGCGCAAAACGTCATAAGTCATGATTCGTTGAGCATGATTGGCAACCAATTGCGTTCAACTTTTAGACACATGCGGCCGCGGGACTTTCTGAAATGCAGCGCGTAAAAATAACTTGGCAGAATCAATGATTTATTGCTTAGGCCAGTATTCATAGTCAGATCCTATATTTAAGACCGTCTTAAGTACGGTCTTAAGAAGTCGCGAATCAATCAGAGGATTGCATTAATGTCTTAAGGCAACTTACTTAAGTACGATTTTGAAATAAAAATCGATTATGAATACCGCCTTAGGAATGACTTTGGGTGCGATCCATTTCACGCTGCAAATTTAAAGCATTCTTTGATTGATCAATTTGTAAAATTCGTTCTTCTCAATTGGTCAACGAAGTATTTGCAATTTGTTAAATGGATCACATCACCTGATAGCAAGCTGATGTCAAAATGACGTTATTTGACGTCAAAATAACGACAAATGACGTAATTTGCCTGGGATCTTTTGATTAAATGATTCTGATTAATTTTTCAAGTGACAATTCTATAATATTTTAATAATACAAGTATATAATTAATATAAAATTAATATAAAAAATTATAATTTTTTTTCTATTGAAAAGAGAAATTGAATTAATTAGGGACAATATTTTATATATGTAAAATAAAGAATTAATTAATTTCTTTTCATCATAAAAGTGATTTAATTGAATTGTAGAGATAGGAATTTTAAAAATAATCAAAATATTTTTCAATCTTTTAAAAAAAAATTTTTTTACGAAAGTTCTCAAAAATGAAGAGACATACTAAAACTATACGATTTTTGTAAGTACATAAAATAGACTATATTTACTTATATATTTATTATAAAATGTTGACAAAAAAGATTAAGTATAAATAAATGCTGTGTTCCACGTAAAGAACATTTTATTCTTATTAAATAAACGACAAGGATAAAATGATATAACAGGTGTATTGTGCCTTTTGTGGAGTACTTGGCTAAAATTAAATGATGACAAACTATAATATAACAATCCTATATAATAAATAATAATTTTATATTGTGTTAGATGATCTACTCAAGTTTTTTATGTTGAAAAAATTTTATGTTGAATTTTTAACATATTCGAGTGTTAATTTAACATATAATATGTTATATCAACTAAATAATAATATTTAACGTAATAAATATGATTATTATGTTAAATTATTATGTTATTTATAAATTTCGTATTAAATTGATATTCAATATTTCACAGTATTAAAATAAATTTTTATGAGTGACCAAATAACATAAAAATAATTTAATATTTTTACATAATATTTGTGTTACTTTCTAACATGCATTCATCTTTCGTTAAATTAACACAAAAATTTGAATGGATCATTTAGGACAATGCGATAAATTTAATATAAATTGTCCAACTGTGTACTGTTTACGACAGCGACCTTTCCAAGGTTCCCAAATACTGCGCAACCACGAACATCCTGCGACGTGACGTACAAAGTTCCTGCGGTTTCGCGAATAAACATCACGTTTCTATTAGCCGCTCGCGACGGATAGCAGACACGATAACAATCAAATGTGATAAGGTCCGATAAGTCGGCCGTCTGGTAGGAGTTCGATAATTATATACGAATGGTATCTAAAGTTTATCAGTCGAGATTGACCATTTTCACAGTTGTTTCTCTGACGCGATTCGGACGTATTCGCAAAACTTTTGACAAGGATCTGCTGTTGCTCGCAGTGATCTCGAGGTGTCTTAGGAATCTCTCTTTCACACTATGGAATCCTCGGCAATTGACGAAGCTGAGTCTACTGAAGTTAAGGTGCCGCAGGTAAAAAATTACCAGAGCATAAAAAGAACTAAAGGAAACAGATTTTCTGCTTTTATACAATTAGGATCTCTATTCTTTGAAAAGAAACATACACAAAAAATCTATATACATGCAATGTATATACTATCTAGTATTTTCTTAGTATTTTGTACATTTCTTTTCAAGAATTATAAAAGTCCTGGTTGTGGAAAAGCGCATACACAAAAAAAATCTATCATATATTGGAATACCCTTAATCTAAAGTGTTGAAAACTGCGCATGATGAAAGCAGTTCTGCAAAATTGATAAAATTATTTTTCATATACTATTAATTGCAAGCATGTATAAAATAATTACTTTGATCGAAATAATTTTACATTAATGAATGCAGTATTTTATTATCAGACATATCAATTTTGAAATAATAGATCAAGAATACGACATATAGCTAATAATATTTAAATTCTACTTTAATTGCGCTGAGAGAATTTTCAATTATATTAAATAATTCAAAATCCTTAATCAAAATAAAATATTTCTATTTACAAATATTTTGTAATATTTCTTTTCAATATTAATTATTTAAAATCAACAGTTGAAGAAACAATTTTGACATATCTATTAAGTCTATTCTACGATGCTTTTTCCTTGTTTCTTGCTTTTTGCTATTATTTACATCTTGTTTTTTTGCTCTTTGTCCGGTTTTTTATTTTATATCGCCCGAGATAAAAGTTAATGAACTTCAAAAGAAACGAGAAATATGTAATAAGAAATACAATTGTCGATAAAATGGATGCAAAGAAGAAAAAAACAAAAGGTAAAAAATAAAAACAGGAAACAAGAAAACATTGTAAAATAAACTTTAACCTTTATGGTATGCTGAGCTTTATATATTCATTATCTCGATTGAAAATCAATGTAATATATTGTGTGAAAAATCATTTTTGTATCTACTAACAATTTCTAAAAAACTTCTATAAAAGAACTTCTTTTTTTTTACATCTTTTAAATTGTATTCATTTAAAACAAAGATCTATGCTTCTCTTTGTTCGCGTCTTTTTTTTTTCTTTTGCGATGTGTATATTTCAAAATAATTATGCTAAATAAAATTTATAAGTAAACTCTCTTTTAATGTTTCTTTCTGTACAAAGAAAATTCGTATTGATTTTTAAAAAATCATTAGAAAATGACAAAAGAAGTGAATCACTCTATATAAATTTAAATACATAGAATATAAGTATCAATACTTGTGTCAATGACGATCTGAATCATTGATAACGGTCACTTGTTTCACTATCACTTGGCGAAATTTTTATTCTCTAATCTATTCGAAAAGGATGACTAACTTGCTCATTTCCACCAACGTAGATTTTAATCTCGGTTTAATTTACTCTTTATCTTTTTTTGATCTTTAGAACTAGAAAAAGACGAAGAGTAAGTTGAACCGAGATTAAAATTAATCTACATTGATGGAATCTACATTGATGGAAACGAGCATAAGTTAGCATTTAGTAGCTCAAACATACTGCGATACTTGTGGCCTTTGTTGCATCGATAGCTTCCGTTATTCTGATTTCATCATCGATCACTGCTTTATTTACAGATTGCTCTGATGATAGATAAAAGAGATTTTGTAAATGTATGTGATTTAATATGAATATTAATATTATCAAGATCAATATTAATATTACATATAGCTGTCGATGTAAAATTTCTTTCTAATAAAATAAGCATGCTCTCAGTTAATATTTCCTAGATATACTGTTATTAATAAACTCAGTATATATACAATTGCAATATCATCGTTATAATAAAACTAACATAATAAACGATAACATAAAATATATTTGTTGATCTTTAAAATAGTGATATCAATTTTAAATTTAACTAAATATTTTTATAAGCAGAATGATAGAAGAATTTATTTATATAAAATTAGACAGTAAAACAATAAAGACTCTCGAATATAATTTAACGCGGTTCTAAAAGTAAATAGAGATTTCTATTTTTTATTTGAATAATTTTTTATATATTTAAAAAAAATATATCTTTTTCGCAAAAATGAAAATAATAATAATAATAATAATAATAATAATAATGAAAATAAAATAATTATAATTTAAAATTTTATACATATACATGCAGAGAGATCAAGACAGTAGAAAGACAAAAATTAAATGACCGATATACACATAATTACAATACAGGCTTTATCCTTTATATTATATTATAAAGTTAAAATGCCGATCAGTCTAATGCCCATTTCTATTATCGTAGATTAACTTTAATTTCGATTCAACTTATTCTTCGTCTTTTTCTAATCTTTAGAATAGAATAAGTTGAACCGAGATTAAAGTTAATCTACATTAGTGGAAACGGGCATTAGAGCTACCGCAGACAAAATTTCGTAATGTAAGACGTAAACTTAAACCAATGGTAACAAGCTGACATCATTTTGTCGTTACTTTGACAAAATGAGCTTATTACCAGGGAAGTCAATTAGGATTAGGATATTGCTTTACATTTACGTATCTAATAAAAATAGAAATAGCAGTAAACTTATTCATAAGGCAAATTTCAACCGGTTGACATTTGTCTTAGAGATAAGTTTATTGCTACTTCTATTTCCGTTAGATTACGTAGATCTAGAACAATATCCTATTATCGGCTTAAGTTTACGTCTTATGGTTACTGTTACAAAAATTTTGTCTACAGTAGCCCTAAATGACAGCTAGATTGCGCAGGATAGAGTAAGATGGACGAAAATCAAGCTAAAAGTAAATCGAAAATCGGCAAATCCTTTAGTTTGAGCAGTACCTGCGGAGGATGAAGCTGATTGGCTAACCCAGGCCATTTTCCATGACGAAGGATATTAGAAAAAATCTTTCCTCTCCTCCCTTCATACATGTGTAATCTGTGTTAGTGTTCGTTGTGCTGTTTCAAGAAAATACGTCGCAGTCTTATTGCAGTTTTAATACTGAAACAGCCAAGCTGATCTAGGAAGAATTCAGTGTTCGGTCGTAAATTTTATAGATCTGTGATATATAATTTAATTTACTATACAATAATCGTTATAATACGATTTATTTTTAATTTTTAAACCACAAGTTATGACCGTTTGATTGTGAAGTAGACGTGTTCGCAATCAACGCCGGAGTCATGGAAACATTCAAGGAAAAAGTAAAACAAATCAACATTCTCGAGTTTTTAATTGAATTAGGAAAAAGTGAAGATAAATGTTATATGTTGTTGAAGAAAGTGTTTAAAAATCGCTGTATAACTCGTGACAGTATACATGCGTATTTTGATGAAGTCAATGGAAATGCGAGACAATCCTCTAATAAAAAGAAAGAAATTGAGAAAAAAATGGAGGTAAGATACTGCAGTAATTTTGTGTTTCAGGAAAAAGAAATACTAGGAATGAACAGTTTAACCGAAAGTAGTTTTTCGTTTTATATTTGGATCTCTCAATTTATTAGCTGTATCATATTTTCTCTTTTGTATATAATATACACAAAAGGGTTCGCGGAAGCACGTGTCTCCAGATTCTTTAATATTTCTTTACACAGTGTTATAGAGAGAAATAATCGCAAGTCGTTCCATCTGATATGGCAGATATGGCATAAACCGCATCCAGTAGTCTTTTGTCTTCTATTGTCTTCTCTCTGTGTATCTTTATATATTTCTAAACGTTACTTGGGCTACTTCCAAAACTTCCTCTCCGAGGAAAATTTTACTCGAACAGTACACGTAACATATGCTATAGCATACAGAGTAAAATCTTCCTCGGAGAGAAAGTTTGGAAACACAGCCCCAGTGAGAAATAATGGAATTGATATTGAATCGATGTCGATTCAACGTCGAAATCATTAAATCAGCATTGAATTGACATCGATTTAACGTCGATTTAATGATTTCGACGTTACGAAGCATGAACGAAACTTTTAAAAGGCGAAAATTGGAACAATGAAATGTGAAAGAAGCTTCTAAATGCTTCTTTTATTAATTTTCGGCTTCTGGAAGTTTCGTTCACACTTCTGTTATTTTTCCATTATATCCGATTTACGCTCCGATTTTTATTTTCATATACTTATATTTGCTTTAATTATACTTATAAAATATTTTTGTTATTTGACTGACCATTAAAAATCTATAATTAAAAATAATATAT